CGTTGGGCTATTTAAGACAAAATCTTTCCATTTTTGAAAGTCAAACACCCCAACATCAATGTAGACTTCTAGACATCGATGTTTTGGTGACCGTTAGCCATTTTTAAAGGAAAGTCAAAGCCAAAACAGCGATGTTCACTTTATGAACATCGCTGTTAGGCTAGATTTCAGCAGATCCACTTTTATTTGATTTCCACAAATCAAGCTAATCAACCCCAATCTTTTCCCAACCGTTGCACCTTGTTTTTGGGTATGAAAAGGGGTCTCTTGGGTCTACTTTTGACATCCATTCCTCACACATTTCATAGCTTTACATTGCATCATTCCATAAACTTTTTACATAGCTTTTTAGAGCCATTTCTTGAGGAATTGAGTGTGTTCTTGATCTAAATTAGTTTACTCATATTCTACTCTTTAAGAGAGTTTTTGTTCTTGAGTGGTTAAGTGTTGTGAACACTTTAAGGGAGGTTTGTTCCCTTGGTTGTACGAAGGAAGGGCATATTCCTTCGAGTTGAAGTCTTGGAGTGCAGTATCTCCGAGAAAGTGTATTGAGGCTCGTGGGACTCAAGTTCTCAGGTTGTAACGGTTTGTTAAGCACCAGTAAGCTTAACGGAAGTAGTGTAGCTCGAGAGAGTCTCTCGGGAGGCTGGACTAGCCACAACGTTGTGGTGAACTAGGGTAAAACTGGTGTGTTCTTTCCTCACGCTCTTTTATTCCGCTTTTTGCTTTATCTCTGCGATTTTTATTCCGCGAAAATTTATAAACATTCTCGTGCCTCACTATTCACCCCCCCCTCTAGTGAAGGGCACTTATTCTAACAAGGTTTGGATGTTTTCATGTTGGAATTGTTGGGAAAAATATTATAGATTTTGATGATGATGTATTTAGAATGTAATAGGGACTTTAGGTCTCCCCAAATATTCAATGTAATTTTTCTTTTTAGAAATATTGTTAAAACCGAGTTCTCTAGATTTCCAATAAAGTTGTGATATTTCTTTAAGCGGTTTGATGCCTGAAGACTTAATCAAATTCAATAATTTGAAAATTGGATATCTTGATCGGAAATGTCAGAGACAAGTAAGGATTTCTCAAAGCAGACGAAAATCCTCCAATCCGGAAGACTACATAAGAACCGGATGTCTCGCTACAACCCGCTGAAGGCTAAGTCGGAAGACTAGCGCGAATTTCTTTCTCACCCGGAAGACTGAGTATGACTCTTCCGGATTTGTCAGCTAAGAACCGGATGCCTCAAGAAAGACCGGAATTCTCAAAAAGCGGACAAGTGAGAAAAGACTTAGAAAATTATCTAAGTCTTGAATGAAGAAATTCTACACGTTGGTAAGGAAAAATCAATCTCTTGATTTTCAACGGCTAGATTGAAGATAATTATGCTGATTCAAGAACAAATGACTCGAAGACAAAGTCTGGACCTCTAAAAATTGAAGAGCCTGTCCAGAATTCCTAAACAAGCACTAGAAGACAAACAGAGTAAAGTGCTACAGTCCAGAATTCTTGAACAACAGGTAGAAGACGGATTCTGTGGAAAAAGGAATCCCTTCTTAAACAATTGGGTATGTCCAAACACCCATTCGAATGAGGAATCTTCAAATCACAATCTTCATTCAAAATTGAAGCTAGCAAATGCAACGGATAGTCTATTTTGATTCAACGGATAGATTATCCAATCCAGCTATAAATAGCATCCTTGGAAGACTGGAGAAGAAACAACGGCAACGATAAGATAAACAACCACAACAAAGCTACCTCATTCACAGTTAGCCCAAAAAGCTTGATAAAGAGAGATTTCTAAACTCCTTATCCAGAAGCAAACTTCTCCTCCTTCCAAAGAGCTATAGTGTAAATACTTGAAGGTTTCCTTGCCTCAAGTACCACACCACGTTGAAGGATACAACTTTTGATCAAACTTATTGATTGAAAGGGGGTAGGTCAACTTTCT